CAAAAATAGTTAATTGTATTTATTTTCTCGTTTTTTCCTAGTTATAAAATATATAACTATGAAAAAAGTAATAAAAATTGTAATGCTTTTTAATAATTAATTACTTTTCACAGTGGCTCTACGACTATTTAAATCATAATACATGAAAGTACAAAGAAACTTATTTAAAAGTTTTATAGCTTTAGGTAAGCAACTATCTCACCTTGTCACGCTTCGAAACACTTAAGTTATAAAGTTTAAACTCTATTGCAACAACTAATTTAAATTTTAAAAATTTAAAAGAAATAAAGTTTTAGTAATCGTTATTAAAACTAGTAACTAGTAACTATTCCTGTCCTGTTATAAATGATGACAGAATATAAATTAAACAAAGTTTTCCTTTACATAAAATTTACTTTAATTACAATTTCATTGAAACTTGCTAACTGAAGGAAATCTTTTAAATTCAAATATTTACATTAATTTGCAGTGTGTAAGACATAACTACTCTCAAAATTAAAAATAAAGAAAGACTTGAAAAGTTAAGAATTTGTGTTTAGTGCTTATTTCAAAGTTCTTAATCAGTCTTCAGAGATTATCAAACTTTCTGGTAGATAGCTATACGAAGCAAGCTAGAAGAGGTTGTGTATTTTCAGAAAACTTTAGTCCTTACTTAAAAAAAATATTTTAATTTAACATGATAGAATTTGGGAGACCGTTAAAAAGTAGTCTATTTTAAAATGGCTCATAAATATGCATTTTTCTTTGACCCGTAACAACACAACCTTTTCGTTGAAGGTAAGCTTTAGTATCTGTGTAAATGAAATTTTCCGTATGTAAACCATCGAATCAGAACTTTTCGCGTTGTAATTTAAATTGCAAAACATTCACAATTGTAAATGCAATTAATTCTTCTAAAATTTCCATAATAATTAATCATACATTTCGCTGTGGTAAACCTCCGACACGTCGAGCGTAAATCCAGCAGATTCTTAGACCTGACTTTGTTAACACAAGGCGTTTGTTTGTGGAACGGCGTATTTCAGGACCGACCTTAGCAGGTATGATGGTAATCCATCTCCTAAAAGGATTCCGTTGAAACAGGGCCCAACGGATGCATTTATACTAGTTGTCTGTGGACAGATCTCTGAATTTGAGACACGGAACTGAATAATACATGTTATAATCTGTGCAGAGTTCGCTATGCATTATGCAGATAGCCCCTTGAAATATTTACAGGGGCGCCATTAGACCTCTTTCTCTACTACCAAACAGACTTACGCATGAATCTTCTCGATTAAAGTTGGTGTAAGTTGTAAAAAAGCAAAAAACGATGAGGAAGGCAGTCTTTAAGAAATCCTCTTCAAAACTGTGTTAATCTTGTTTTGATGTAATAAGACGATGGCGATAAAGATCATTATGATTTTGCAATTTTATAGAAAATACTTCAATTAAGCATGAATGTTTTTTAACTGATGCAGCAGTTGATTTTTAAACATCAAAACAAAGACAATATTTTTATTGACTTTTTATTCAGACTGCTGAGTAATGAGTAATTAATTTCGTTTATTTACAAAATATTGGAAATATTAAAAGAGACAATTTACTCCTAGAGTATTAGAAAAATTATATATTTAGTTTTTATGTCGAGGTTTCTTGTTTAAGAATTAGTTACCACTATAATATCGTAGAAAATCCACAAAATTTTTACGAAAATAAAATAAAATAGAATACTTTTGTGGGCACAGAATTTCCAAAAAAACCTGCTTACAGTTTTGTCATTTTCTTGCCAAGACGATAACACTAAAAATTAGGACTACCGCCAAACCCTTTATTTCAAGATGGCATTGGACAGTTTTTTCAAAAACTGTCTTAAATCGGTACACTTTATTATCTACAACACCCTTGCATCAATACGAACGCAATCAGACTCCTCTTAATAGCAAACTAGCGACAATTTTAATGATAAGTAATGAAATAATGGTCGATTTATTACTGAATATGCAATCCGGATCAAAATTTACTGTCACCTCAGTGATAACAATTTCTAATTAAAACTTTAGGATTTATTAAATAATATAACTCCCAAAAATATAAAAATATCTTAGGTACAGTTTTAAAATATATTCAAAAAAATTTAAAATTTGATTAATTTTGAATGAAAAAATTTCTACCTTTCTAGCTGTCAAAAAATTTTGAGTTTTATTTTTTGACATTTGACATTTTTTTGTTTCTATTTAATGATACTGATAATCTTGTATATGTTTTTTTACAATGATTTGATAAAGGGACAAACATTTTGCCAATAGAAGCCACAAATAACATTGAACAGAGTTACAATTTAAGATACAGCTTTCTTATTTCCTCTTTTAATAGCCTATATCAAAAAAACTTGAAAAAATATTTTTCCAACAGAAATATATAGAGTCAAAGTGCAAACTTTAAACCCTCATAACTTCGAAATTTTTATAAATAATTTTTTTTTAACATTTTTTCCATGTTCCTGGTATCTTACCTTATAGGGCATTTTTCTCTGGGGCGCGAGTTCTGGCGCACCCTGTATGTGTCTTTAATTTATACTTAAACTAGTAGCTGTCTATCTAAGTTTTGAATAAAGCACAAACATATTGCATATTTTCTGCTAACAGTCGCTTGGTCGTATTAAAATAACTAATTCGAGAGCATTTCTAAATTGTTAACATCGTTTTGTGACAGTGCACATTTTGTCTGTCTCAATTCTCCTCGAAGGGCCATCTCGAGCACAACTAACTGCCATTGGCTGTGTTTTGACCCCTAAAATTTGCAAGGTGCAAATGAACTTGAACTACGTTTAATTATAAAAATAGGAGTTATATTAAATATAAATAATAAGTTAAATTTTAACTTGTGCTTAAGTTTGTCAGTCTTGCAAATGGCGATATTTTATTTCATTATTCGCTTTAATATTTAATATTTTTGTACAGCAGTTTTGTCAACTGAATTAACATAAAGTTTAATTTGGCTAATGCGACAGCATGAGCAAAGTCAACTTAATCTAACCAGCAGCATTTATTTTACCCTGCTTTTAATTGCGCACCATATAATGCAGAGGGAGTTTACCGAGTCAAATTCGCCTAACCAAAGCCTCGTGTTACCATTAGTGTTTGTTGTACTTGTCTAAGCGGATAATATCATGAATATTCGAAAAATTTTAAATAAAATATAAACAATAATAAATTTAAAGTGATAAGTTCAATTTGCCTCCGGTTTTATTAAAACAATAACTTTTATTTCCGCAATAAAAGTTGGCGGTTATGTTTCCGTTTGTTTGCCGGAAACAAATAAATAATAATATTTTCGATTGTTAGTAAAAAATCAGGTGGGTAGTAATGATCAATAAAAACAACGCCTTGCTTGGTTTCAAATACCAAAAGTCAGGAATTGGACATTATTGCAAAATTAAATTATTTTTGCAAAGCTTTGTTTATCAATTATTTTGATGCAAGACTTGAGCTTCTTATGGACTTTATTTCTTACAATTACTGTGTTCGTACACACCTAACAATTAATCATGATATTTTTTAACATATTACGTTATTCTGTATTTGTAACTTTTAGATAATAATTTTATTAGTGTTATTTCTTTTTAAAAATTATATTGTTTGATACAACAAAATATATTCTCATAAATTTAATGTTTGATAATAAATTTAAATCCCAAATTAAAAGTTTATTATTTTTAGCCATAAATTTAAATAATTTAATAGATAATAATTTGGATCAACGTTTACGCAAATGAATTTTTAAACAAAAAACATCGAATTTATAATTATGTACTATCATTAACAGCCAACACAGGAAACCTTTAACATTCCCAAAACCCAAACCAACTTATAGTGTGGTTTTGTGCCGCATTGCTGGTTTGTCCACTTGCAAATCTTGGGTTTGATCGGTCTTCACAAGGGTCATAAATTACGTCAACCCTTGTTAAACTTTTTAAGAAAATTCTCGTCGGTTTAAATGGATTGCTCAAGTTGGACATTTGCTTATTTAAAGCTTAATTATAATAAAAATCAATCAGAAAATAAATTGTAAACTAAGTCTAGTCTAGAATGGTAAGCTTGTATAATACGAGAGTACAATCTAAAACTTTAATACTACGCTATTTCACATGCATAACTTTGCCACATGTTATTTAATCAGACGTAGCAAACTAGAATCAACAAGATTATTTAATTTTGTGCCAATATTTTCTAGCAAACACTTGAAATAGAAATGACAATTACATAACGAGCTCTATAAAATAAGAAGGTTTAGTTACGTTGTCAGATTACACATTATTTTCGAAAATAATTCCGGCTTTTATCTTCTTAGCCCAAAATGAGAAATTGGGTTTGAAAAAGCTTACGAGCATTTTAGATGTCTGGAGGCCGTTAAAATTAACTTTTGTGGAAAATACAGGAAATATTTTACAAGTATGCAAAACAAGAATCAACATTTAATTTAATCAAACTAAGCATCAGAGCAAAGTTGTCTCAACAAATATTTATTGCTTGAGATCTTAACATCAAACCAAATTTGAGTTTTAATCACATAAATATTAATTTTATAATTATTGCCTTATTAATATTGGGCTGCAAAAGAAATCAAAAACCAAGTATAAAACGCTAATGAAGTTTATCAGATCAGATTCAAAAGTGATAATGATAACAAAGTCCAAACAATTTGAACCAAGTTTTTGAACGATAAAGGGAATGTACACCCTTGAATTAGGTTACATTGTTACTTGTGAAATCTTATCTTTTATTTTGTGAAAATTGTTGCAAATAAATGAAAGAAGAAACTGACGTAGCAGAAGTTCAATTTGTTAGCTAAATAACTGTGACAGGATTCAACATTCATTCACAAATATCTTTGAAAGCCTACCACAAAAACAAAGTTTTTATCAAACACATTTTCGGCAAGTTTCCGAATATCGATCGCACACATTATAATAATAAGGCCTGAACTTTTCGAATGTTTTACTATTTGATGTTCATTGTGTTGAGTAAAATTACCGTTTTTCCGAATGAAAGTCGAGAGATTAAGAGAGACGTTGAAATTTTGTACCAACTTCTTATAAGCCTCATCTGCTTATGAACTGATCCCAGATAACAAAACTGTTAAAGAGGATGTCTGCATAAATCGACCGTTGCTGAGCCTGATTTAAAATTGTAAGGAGACCGTTCGAAAAAATCTCGAAACACTGTCGTTTATTTGCAACATAATTTATATTTTTTTAATTAAATAGATCAGTGCTAAAAAGAAAAAAATATTTCTTGTTCTTTTGATCAATGTAACGCTCTAGTAACTCTTAATTTAATTAGTTACTTTTTCTTCACTTTCATTGAAAAGTCGGACTGGAAAACAATAGTAGATAAATGAAAAAATGTCAGAGATGCTTTCGAGTCAAAGAGCCCGACATTTCTAAATACCGTGATAAACGATAGGACGTCACAAATCAGCTATATTAAGAAAAGAAAATTTGCTTAAAGAATATTACAGATAAAATTTTCTTACACAAAACTTTTTAAAATAAATACTCAAAAGATAAAGTTTTTAAGATATGTGACTATAATAAACTTTTATCTATATTAGAGCGTCGTATTCTTAAGTATTGCTGTAAAAATCTTATATTAAAAATGTTGAGGAAGGTACTCAAAAGTACACAATTACAACTCGGAAGACTTGAATAACCAAACTAAATATTTTCTACTGAAAATTAAAAAGTTTCGACAAACAAAGCCATTATAAGTTGTATCACTTTCAACAGAGCCACTTTAGGAAACAAATAAAACGAAGACATCAGAGATTGAATAAATCAAATTGCGTAAATAGGATATAAATAAATAAATTCAGAATTTGTTTTAAGTTAATAAAAAATAAAAAAAATATTTAAAAGAATTACCCGACTTGCGGTTTTTTGATCAAATTTCACAAAAAATTACGCACTGCTCAAACATAATTTTTTAGGTTTTTGATGATCGTATTATGAGCACGCGTTTGATCGTTCTGAACTACCGGAGCGGCGTGTGATTACCGTGTCGGCGTCCCGGAACCACTGGCTAAAATCTGGCGTCACGACGTTGCCATCGCGCACTGTAAAACATCCACACACCCCCGCATGCAGTCCTCAACAAGTGAATTTTCTGGTTTTTCAGAAAATATCAAACGATTGTCTGATCATCAATTTTCCTCATAAATTTTCTTCGAGCAAAAAATATGGAGATTTTTTATCGATCCAAGAATTATACAGAAATTAGAATAAAGTGGCGCAAGGTTTTAATCAAATATTTTGAACCAATATTAAAAAATAATAAACCAAACAACATCTTTATTTTTTTATGAATTGTTGGTTGTTATTTATTTAGTACAATAAGAGTAAACACACAGTTGCATGTCTAAAACGAACTTTAAAAACACTGCTTATTTTACATTAAAAATAAATTAATACATGGCCTTACTACTTATTATTCTTTAAAATAGCGTCTCGTTTTTATCGAAAATCGATACAATTCTACGACAGCTTAATAAGCTACTTCATCATTTGAACAATTTTTTGATCTTGTACTCGTAATTACACCATTGGCACTAGCCAGTTCACTTCTACTTCGTGCTATGTTCAGTAATTAAACTGAAATTACAATAGCTAGTTATTTTAATGAACTATTGATTACACATCATGCTTAGAGCAATACTGGCAACTTCCAATTAAACGTGTACATCACCGCATTTCAATAATGATAAAAATTTCTACATTTTGGTGAAAATCTGTATATAATTACTTTGTGTTTAGATTGTCATTACAATAAGTTTACATTTTTTTCATACCCAACAATAAAGCTTTGTTCAGCTTTGATGCAATCGAAACTCACTAAAATATTGAACTGTCGGCAATTTACTTGTAAATAAAGCTCAGGTCGTGTCAACGCTTTGATCAAGCCGATGTGAACGTGATAATAATTAGTGAGGTGAAAGTGATAAGTAATTATGTGTAGAATTCCAATTCACAGAGGCTTTGTAATGAATACTGGTTTATTATTAATAAAATTACTGGTATTGTGTCTATTTAAAGAAATTAGATGAAACAAACTACGATGACAAAACAATCACTAATAATTTGAAATACAGGGTTATTCATAAATATGAAGCAATATTTGATTCTCAAAAATGACCCATAAAATGATGTCAATTTTTATAAAAACTCGTGTCCTATCTCTACTGATAAGAATTTTACAGCCCTCGGAATGTGGGTATGGAAATTTGATTTTTTTGTAATAACTTTGGAACTACTTGACCAAATATTATAAAATTTGGAACATTTCCCTGTGACAACATACCCTTTGAACTGGTGATCACGAAATCCGGATACATCCACTCAATTTCCGGTTCCAGCAGTTGCAGGTCACATTTTCTGTGTTTTTCCATTTTTTTGCTCTCTTAACACCAATTTTTTATTGCCCAAATCGATAGAGTAATCAATTTCGAATAAAAAACGCATAACCTTTAATACTCCTAAAATGGACCGTTTCAAAGATATTTTAATTTAAACTGAGGACTGCACAATGCTGAAATCAAAAAATAGGGATTTTGAATAAGTGTTATCCACGGTAACCAATGACCATGGTCACATAAATCTCTGCCAGGCATCTGTTAACTTTGACGATAAATTTTTGTGAATTTTTTATGAATTAAATGCTACGAGATCCATTTGGATTTATGTTTGGAATCTGAGGTAAACTCTTTTATTAAATATATTCGACTAATTGTCTAATAATCGTCCAATGTCAAAGTTGACAGATGCCTGACAGCGATTAGTGAGACCATGGTCATTTGTTACCGTGGATATCATCCATTCAAAATCCCTACTTTTTGGTTTCAGCGTTGTGTAGTCCACAGTTTRAATTAAAATATCTTTGAAACGGTCCATTTTAGGGGTATTAAAGGTTATGCGTTTTTTAATCGAAATTGATTACTCTATCGATTTGGGCAATAAAAATTTGGTGTTAAGAGAGCAAAAAAATGGAAAAACACAGAAAATGTGACCTGCAACTGCTGGAACCGGAAATTGAGTGGATGTATCCGGTTTTCGTGATCACCAGTTCAAAGGGTATGTTGTCACAGAGAAATGTTCCAAATTTTATAATATTTGGTCAAATAGTTCCAATGTTATTACAAAAAAATCAAATTTCCATACCCACATTCCGAGGGCTGTAAAATTCTTATCAGTAGAGATAGGACACGAGTTATTATTTAAATTAACATCATTTTATAGGTCATTTTTGAGGTTCAAATATTGCTTCACATTTATGAATAACCCTGTATATGTACGTGTAATTAAGTAAGTCACAAAGTCAAGAAAACCACCTCTTTTCATAAATTTTTGTCTAGTCAACTGATAACCAACTAGAAACAAAAAAACTGTCATGTTTTAAATATCAATTTTCTAATTTGCGTTTATAATACGTTTATTAACGTCTCTCAGTAGGAGTCGCTTATGGCTATCTATTAAAGCACACTGTACTTTAATGAATTTAGGGTTATTCAGTTTTTGTATGCCGTTTCTGACTTGTCAGGTAACGAATTTTGCGTTGTTGCTTCAGCAATTTCGCGATTTTCGGGCGGAGTGCAAACTAAATTCTGTTGGCTCATATTTTATTTATTATTATTATGTTGTAACACTAATAACTAATAATTTGTAAATTTTATTTTTAATGACAGACGGCAGAAATGATTGAAAAAACGAAGTGGGCGCCGAGTGTTTCCAACCGATACCAATTAACACAAAATACTCTAGACGACAAAAATATATTTTTTTTAATTAAAATAAATAAAGGGGGCGCAAATTAGAAAAAATAGTATAAAATACTCGTTTTATAATTGCATTGGCGCATTCATCCCATAGAAAATTCGCCTACGGCTCGTTTTCTAACTTGGGATTCGTGCGCCAAATCAACCCTTATAAAACTTGTTCTTTAACATACTAATTTTGTAACTGTAAAAAATTTTATTATCAAAAATGAAATCCAAAAGTGTGTGCTTGTGTCGTTTAATAATCTTTTTATCTTATCTACAAGTAATAGTGACGCCCTCACTGTTCAAATAGGTATTTTAATAAATCATAAATTAATAAGTTTCAACAAAAGTCGTTTTGTTATTTATTTTGTTACGATTTTTTTTTATTATGTGACTATGTCGCGAGTGTAATATTAACATATTAATGTCAGAGCAAATAAACTACAACTAAAAAGGGCAGCTCCGCCCCGTTAATTATTTTTTTATTTGCTTGATGAAGAATTTGTGTAGAATACATCAAATTTCCCATAATTCCCCATTCAAAGACATTTCCCTCCTCAAAACATAAATGAATTCCAACCAGTCTTACTCATAAATCACAAACTTTGTAACTTCTTAAGTCTCATTTTCATTTCAATTGGCAACTTGTGTCTTTTTTGCAGCATACTGGCATACAATAGAATGCATAGCTTCTAAGAAAAGTGGTATTTGTTTCTGAAATTCTCGATGAACATCATAAAACTTTGTTGTAAAGCAGGAAGCTATTTTATGACCGTTGACATGCTTGGGGAAACCGGAATATTACAGAATGACGGATGCTGGTGCATTAGCATTACACAACCGGAAAGTAGGTGCAAGGAGTAAATCAGCTTATGTCCTACTTAGGACACTTCCCTACATAATTCAAATTATGCAAGTGAACAACTACACGGCACCACGCTTCACAAAGATAACGTAATGTAGACATTGGATGTAATATGTCATAGTAACTGTTATTAAACATCAACCCTGAAGTGTTTATGGCCACATTATCGCCAAATTTATTATAACCACCCCTTTAATTTCCAAAGCAAATTTTTCCCTTAAAAAATTTCTTCGCTTCTTGTATTTTAAACGTTCCGGCATAACTCGATTACACTTATTGTTCCGTAATATATTTACAGAGACTATTATGGTAATTTGCTAGTTTGAAACACGGAGACAAACCTTTCGACGTTATTTTATAATTACATTGCACTAGCATTATAACATCGCTAACTAAATCTCTGCTGTAAATTACCTTCGCTAATTAATGAAGCTTCCTTTCAAAAAATCCGGAACAAAAATTCAACAAGCAATTAGAATAATCTCTGTAACAGCCCGACCGGACGCTGCTGAACTCAAGTTTTAGAAAAAGCCGTTTTTTATGATAAATAATGATAACGACTTTACGAAATGTTTTTATGCATTCAATTTACGAACACGAAATGACTCGGTCCTCTCACCAAAATTGAAAAGCACATCGATGCGTTAAGAGAGGTTGTACTGGAAGGTTATTTATAGAATAATGAGCTTTTCTTAAGTAAAATTCGTTGGACCAGAACGCACCACGTTGCTAGAACACGAATGAAAATGTTGGGCATAAGAATAAACTTGCTTGCAGCTTAAATAATGCGCAGGAAAACAATGCTTGACCATTTGGGGTACAACTGAAAGCTCAAATAAATCATAAACGAGCTTGATAACGTTTTTTTATCAAATTTGCATAATAGAAATAATTTCCTCTATCTTACCAAATTTAGCAAACTTTAAACCAATAACCTTTAAAAGGGATTCAGCTTTTTATTACTCCTGTTGCAATAAAAAAAGATAAAAGCGAATTTAAACAATTTTTGTTAGTTTAATTCCATAATTAAGAAATTGGCTAGATGTTAAGTTTAAAAACTTACAAAGATGTCATTTGAGCGGCAAAATTATGGAATACTATTATTACAACTGAAAATAAACTGACAAAAATGCTCGAACGGGTCATTTTTTTAATACACTATTTTCAACTTGATTTAATGCTATTTTACTACGTAACTAAATAAATAACATTGTAAAGAAGAAACTTTCTGCATAAATAAAACATCAGGATGTGCATAGTTTTTATGAGTTTTGATTAAAATTTTTATATTCAATGTATCAAATATTTAAAAGTTTGAAAGTTTATTTTAA